GGTCGGCGGCGCGCCGGGGGGCAGCTGAGAGGGTCGGGCCTGCTCACGAGGCCTTCCTCAGGCGATCGCAGACATGGATCAAGGAGGAGGGGGAGGAGGGGGAGGAGGAGGAGGAGGAGGAGGAGGAGGAGGAGGAGGAGGAGGAGGAGGAGGAGGAGGAGGAGGAGGAGGAGGAGGAGGAGGAGGAGGCGCGGCGGCGGCGGCGGCGGCGGCGGAGAAGAGGGAGGAGGAGGAGGAGGAGGAGGAGGTGGAGGAGGAGGAGGAGGAGGAGGAGGAGGAGGAGTAGGAGGCGAGAAACCTTTTTTTTGTAATTTGCTGTTTAGAGGACATCAGGCGATCGCAAACATGGATCAAGGGGGCGTGGATTAGCGACGGGTTCCGTTTCCGCGGGAAGTCGCAGCTCTCCGCCGCCGAACCGAGGCGGCACTGGCCGCACTCTGGGGAGGGCACCTCCCCGGATCCATGGACCTGGCGACTGCGCGCCACAGCCATGGATCGCTCATCCGTGTTTGCGCGCCCCCGACCTCGGAGGGGAGCTCCCGGCCCCGACGTCGGGCGTCTCACGAAAAACTCGAGACGAGGCTTCGCGTCGTATTTGACCTCTCAGGGCTCTCACCGGGCCTCGGGATCGTCAACAAAACGACTCGGGACGCAACACCGGCCTCGGGGCAGTGGTCGGGAGGCCGGGGGCCCAGGTCTCGACAAGATCGAGACGTCGGACGTCTGGGGGAGGAGGTTTTCAGGCGCTTTCGTCGGTCCTCGGCTCGTTTCTGGCCTCTGGGTGCTCTCCAGCGGCTGCGCTTCGGCGGCAGTGTCCTGGGGCTGCCGGGAGGGCCCCGAACGGCCGCTGCAGGAGGCCGGAGTTGCACGAAAGCCAGACGACGATGAGCACTGAGGGGGCAGGCCTCCTCAAGAGGGCGGCGGGGCGTGGGAAGCTTCTCAAAGGGCCGGGGTCGCCCCGAACGGCCGCCGGAGGCACAAGTTGCACGAAAGCCAGACGACGATGAGCGTTGAGGGGGCAGGCCTCCTCAAGAGGGCGGCGGGGCGTGGGAAGCTTCTCAGAGGGCCGTCGTCACCCCGAACGGCCGCCGGGGAGGCCCGGGCTGCGGGGCAAGGCCGGCGGCCATGTGGTCCTTTTGGAGGGGGGGCAGGCCTGCTCAGAGGCCGGCGGGGCTCGGGGGAAGCTTCTCTCGGGAGGCCGAGGAGTCCTCGCGAGCCTGCTCGCTCCCACTCGAGCCTTCCTCTCAGGAGGGGAAGAAACACACAGACACAATTAATCGTCGATTTCCCAGAAAATATGGGAAAATATGGGAAGTGGTGGGGAAGACAAAACCCCCAGAAAATATAGGAAAATATGGGGAATCTTTTTATTTGTGTGTATTTATTTGTGTGTCCCAGGGCCCCTTCATCCTCCCCCGCCCCGCCCCGGCTCCGGGCGTCTGCGGTGTCGTGCCTCTCCACGTGTTCTACTTTGTGTGTGCGTGTGCAGTTCACCACCTACCAAACCACCCCCACCCAACCCGAAGGCCTCGATTCGCCCTCCACTTCCAGTGGTGGGGGGGGGGGTGTCGGGGAGCATCGAAAGAACACGCATGGAACCCATACCCCCCCCAACCCGAAATTCGGGTCTTCGGGTTGGGTTGGGGTGGTCTGGTAGGTAGTCAGCAGTCTCAAGAGCGACCCGTCCCCCTGAGCCCCTCTCTCCACCCGCCCCCTTCGTCGGCCGCGCCCTCCCCCCGCTCCTCCTGTCGCCCGGCGGCCCGATGCGCTCCAACGGCATCCCCGTGTAGGCGTCCCATCGCCAGCGCAGCCACCCTCTGCCTAGCCGCCGACGCAAAGAGGGTGCGCTCTCGCAAGGCTCCCCCCATGCCTTCCCCCTCCCCCGCCCCGTCTCCAGGCGTCCGGTGTCGTGCCTCTCTGCGTGTTCTCTCGTGTGCGCCGAGCGCGTTCCACTACTCGCGAGGTGCCTACTGGCAAACGTTTGAAGCAGAACGCATGTCGGCACCGGTGGTCGTGTTATCATCGTAGATCCCCCAGGGCGGATCCAGGCCATCTGCGAGTAGTTGCTTGGCGAGTAGTGAAGCGCGCTTCTCTATACAGTTGAGGCCAGTCCACAAGAAACCGTCCACAGGAAACCCAACCCTGAGACCCCAGGATGTCCGTTCACTTTTGATGTGGGAACGTCACGCATTCCTAGCAGAACTATCGAAACCCAGGAAACCCAGGGCACCCGGGAGGCGAGCAGGGTGTTTCTTGGCACGGGCCCCCACTGTGTGCGTGCTCTCTCGAGGCTCTGGTTTTCGGGCCGTTCCGTTCAGCTCCGGGTAGGGGAGCCTCTCTCTGTGGCCTAGGCCCGTCGTGTCAAGGCTCTACCATGTGGCGCTCCTAGTGGCCGCACGATGACTGCAGTAATCCAGCACGTGGCTCTGAGACACTCGCCCCGTGGGCTTCCCAGACATCGGGCGTCTCGAAAAAATCGAGACGGAGGTTTTTCGTCGTCTTCGACCTCTCGGGGCCCTCGCCGGGCCTCGGGACCGTCAAACATCGACTCGGGATAACAAGCCGGTCCCGGCGAAGTGGTCGGGAGGCCGGAGGCTCCTAGGGGGCAGCGACAATTAAAACAGGGCCAGGATCGGGATAAATCGCTCCAGAGCGTTTCGGAGCGCCCTCAGAACGTTCCCGAACGCTCTGGAGCGGCCGCGGCGCCCAATACATCCTCCAAACCCGCCGATTCTCAGAGACTTCGAGTGATCCCGATCCGATTGTGTCCCGATCTTCGCGCCGTTTTACAGCGGCAATATACGACGAAGCACGACGAAGCAGAGGCATGCGCAGGCAGCGCGTGCGGCAGGGCCGTCGGCGAGAGAGAATCGGCGAGCGTGCGGCCCTCCCCGCGCGAGCGAGCCGGGGGGGCGCGCGCCTGGACAACCTCGAGGCGTCGGATCTCTGGGCTCGCGGGTCCGCCGGCGGCCATCTGTCGCACCTCTGCCCCTCCCGTCCTTCGGGCTGGACGAAAGGGGGGGGATTGGAAAATCGGGGGCGGAAAAGAGGGGGGTGATGACTAGGGGGGGATGGATATCATGGCGGGGGCCATGATATCTCCCCAGATTTCATGGTGCCTCTTCTTATTTCATTACGTCCCTGGCCCCCCCGCTGGGCCGCGCACATGCCGCCGGTCATGATTTGCACCCCTCCCTCTTGGACACCCCCCTCTTGGCCGCTCCCGAGAAAAGGGGGGGTTAAGGAATCTGCTGCGTGCAGCTGGCTTCGGCCCCACCGAGGGGCCCATTCCTCGGTACATAGCCGCCTCTGGCGCCGCGCGAGCGAGCGGGGGGACGCGCGCCTCGACAACATCGAGACGTCGGATTTCTGGGTTCGCGGCCGCTGGCGGCCATCTGTCGCACCTCTGTTCAAGTCGGGCCTGTCCCCCTATACAGGGGGATTTTCGACGGAAAGTAAGAGATACCCCAAACATAGTCCAAAAATAATCCCAAAAAATAGTCTAGGGACTACCGGCGTGGCGTCGGGCGCTGGGCAGCGCCGGGTGCTTCGGTCGCGCTTCCCGGCGCCAGCAGCGCTTCGGGCCGGCGCCAGCAGCGCTTCGGGCCGACCTTGCCTCGGCAGGCGCGGTCCCTCGGAGGCTGCGCAGAGTCCTCCCTGGGCGTGCATCCGAAGATGTGTGTTTTTCGGTCCGCGGCCCCCCGGAGCTCCAGATCGGGGGCGGACAGAACCCCCAACAGTGACACGTCGATTAGTGAATTGTCCGTTTCCGGTTCTCGAGAGGGCGCCGTGGCCGTTATTTTCCAGGCTTGCGCCCGCCAGGTTTGGGCCTCAGGTCGTTTTCTCTAAACCACGTTTTACTAAAGGGGGGTCTGTCCATCCCCGATCCCCCCAAGCGGCGTTGCGCCCCAAATTTGTGCCTGAGTACCCCGGGCCCGCCGCCGCATGCGTCGACGGCGTGGTGGTGGAGCGCTGCGGCTGCGGCTGGGCCGCCGCGCGGGCAGACGGGCGGGCGCACGGGCGGGGTGCCTTCCTCTCTTGATGGGCCGGTCTTCCACCACCGCCACCGTACACTTGCGGGGGGGAAGGAGGTGGAGGAGGAGGAGGAGGAGGAGGAGGAGGAGGAGGAGGAGGAGGAGGAGGAGGAGGAGGACCCCCTCCCCCTCCTACTTCGGGTGGTGGCGGTGGGAAACACGCCCCTCGGGGCGTGATCGGGCGGCCTGGCCGCGCTCCCACCACGGCCGTTCTCTCTCGGCTGCCTCCTGCCACGGCGGTTCTCTCTATGTTGCCTCCTGCGCTGAAGTCGGACCTGTCCCCCTACAGAGGGGATTTGCGACGAAAAATTTCGCAGTGCCCCAGAAATAGTCAAACAGTGCTCCAGAACTGGTCTGGGCACCATTTTTTGCGGATTCTGTTTGACCTTTTTGGGCGTTTTATTATTATTATTATTGTTTATTATTATTTATTATTATTATTTTTCGTCGAACATCCCTCTGTAGGGGGGCACGCCCGACATAATCCTGCGCCTGCGGCATCCGCTTCCGCCTCCGCCGCCGGGGCCTCGGCGGCGGAGGTGGGAAACACGCCCACCATCTCTTTCTCTCTCTCTCTCTCTCTTCCTCCGGGCGTGGTCGGGCCCTTGGCCGCGCTCCCACCACGGCCGTTCTCTCTCGGTTGCCTCCTGCGCCTGCGGCATCCGCTTCCGCCTCCGCCGCCGGGGGCCCGGCGGCGCCCCCGCCCCGCCCGCCCCCCGCCTGCGGGGGGTCCCCGCGGCCGCCGCGGCCCCGGCCCGCTCCTTTCCTGGCCCCCGCTGGGGAGGAGGAGGAGGGGGAGGAGGGAGGGAGGAGGAGGAGGAGGAGAGAGGAGGGGGGAAGGAGGAGCGGAGGAGGGGAGGAGGGGGAGGAGGAGGAGGAGGAGGAGGAGGAGGAGGAGGAGGAGGAGGAGGAGGAGGAGGAGGAGGAGGAGGAGGAGGAGGAGAAAGGGCCCCAGCGGCCCAGCAGGCGCTGACCGACGGGGCGCTGAAGTCCACCACGCACCGCGTCGTGAAGGCCTCGCGGTGGGCTCGCCCTGCCTCGCCGCACTCTCCGCCTGCTCCCTCGTCGTCGTCGTCGTCGTCGTCGTCGTCATCGTCGTCATTATCACCAACATCACCATCACCATCACCATCACCATCACCATCACCATCACCATCATCAGCAGCAGCATCATCATCATCGTCAGCAACGCCATCATCGTCATCAACATCATCACTATCATCATCATCATCATCATCATCATCATCATCATCATCATCATCATCACCATCATCACCATCATCATCATCACCATCATCATCATCATCATCATCATCATCATCATCATCATCATCATCGTCATCGTCATCGTCATCGTCATCGTCATCGTCGTCGCGCCGTTGTCCTCGTCCTCGCCGTCGTCGCCCCCTTCATCCTCCTCCACCATCCAGAGTTCTGTTCTTCTGCTCCTCCCTCCTCATCTGCTTCCCATTTCACCCCCCATCCTCACGCCGCTGCTGCCCCTCCTCAACCGCCAAGTGGCCGCCCCCCCTCCTCCGTGTTTCACGACTCTGGCACTCGTCCTGCTCTTGTCTCCCCCCTCCCCCCTGTGCCTCCCACTGTTCCCCCCGTCCTCCTTCTCCGCCTCCTCCTCCTCCATATTCCTCCTCCTTCCTGTTCCTCCTCTTCCTCGCCCATCTGCTTTCTCCTTCCCCCCCTTGCCGATGCTTCTCAGTCCTCCTCCACCCCTTTGTCTTTATACATAACAGCTTCTTTTCACACCCCAAGATGTGTTAGTGGAGCTGGCCGGGCATGTCCCCTGATATTGCATTACTATTCCATCGGGGAAACGTGAGACTCGAGTTTGCCCAAACTCGGTTTTGCTCACGCTTTTTGAAGGGCACGTTCTCGGGGGCCTCTTTGGCCGTATTAGGACATTCCTGGCCCGGCTGACGCCGTCGGAAGCCGTCTTGTGGGCCTCTCTGGGCCGACTTGGGGCCCTCTTGGGGTGCTTAAGGGCTGTTTTGGATGCCATCTAAGGTGTTTCTCTTGGGCCGTCTCGGGGCCCTCTTAGATCCGTCTATGGGGCTTCTTGGGTCGTTCTGGGGTCATCCCGGAGGCCTCTTGGGCGATCTTGGGGCGATCTTGGGGAGCTCTTGGGCCGTCTCGGGCCGTCGGAATGCCGAACATTAGCAACTGCCGGAATCTCTTAAACACCTGAAGGCCATCGATGATTTTGCCCTTTTCGGGCCTTCCTGTACGCCCTCTTTGGGGCCTCTTGGAGACCTCTTGGGGGCCTCTCAGGCCGTCTTGGGCCATCTTGGAGCCATCTTAGGCCGTCTTGATGGCCTTCTGGCCCGTCTGGCGCCGTCGGAAGCAGTCCTGAGGGCCTCTCTGGGCCGACTTGGGGCCCTCTTGGGGTGCTTAAGGGCCGTCTTGGAGGCCATCTTGGGCGTCCTGGCGTTCTGGGGTCATCTTGGAGGCCTCTTGGGCGATCTTGGGGCGATCTTCGGGGGCTCTTGGGCCGTCGGAAGGCCGTCGGAATGCCGAAACGATGCAACTGCCAAAATCCTTCAATCACAAGGAATATCAATGATGTTTGCCTCTTCGGGCCTTCCTGGAGGCCCTCTTGGAGGCCTCTTGGGCCTTCTTGGAGGCTTCTTGGGGGCCTCTTGGACCGTTTTGGGCTATCTTTGAGCCATCTTGGGCCGTCTTGACGGGCTCCTGGGCCGTCTGGCGCCGTGGAAGCCGTCTTAAGAGGCCTCTATGGGCCGGACTTGAGGCCCGCTTGTGGTGCTTAAGGGCCGTCTTGAAGGCATCTAGGGCGTACTGGAGGCCCCTTGGGCCGTCTTGGGGTCCTCATGGGGCAGGCTTGGGGGCCTCTTGGTCCGTTCTGCTGTCATCTTGGAGGCCTCTTGGGCGATCTTGCGACGACCTTTGGGGGCTCTTGGGCCTTCTCGGGCCGTCGGAAGGCCAAAAAGAAGCACATGCTTACACCCTTCAACAACCTAAGGAACGTCAATGATTGTGGCCTCTTCGGGCCTGAGGAGGACGTCTTGGAGACCTCTTGGGCCGTCTTGGAGGCCTGCTCTTCGGTGCCTCTTGGGCCCTCTTGGGGGCTTCCTGGGCGGACTTGGAGGCATCTTCGACCCTCCTTGTCCGTCTTGGAGGCCATGTTGGATTATCTTGGGCGACGTTGGGGGCCATCTCGTGCCATCCGAGCCGCCTTGGAGACTATCTTGGGCCATCACGGGGCGGGAAAGGCGTTGACGGCCGAGTTTTGGGGTCCCCGGTGGCTGGCGGGGCGGGCCGAAGCCCCAGGGGGAGCTCGTTTGGACAACGAACCACAACCAAAGACCGTAGGATCTAACGCCAGGCACCCCTGTTGCAAGCCCACGGGGCGGCGGATCGGAGACGCCCACGGCGAACCACCGCCGCCCGCAGCCTTTTTGGAAGCGCCTCTGTGGCCGGCAGCTGGGCCAGAGGTTGGCCAAGCTATCGGGCCAGTTGTTCCCCGAGTCGGTTTGGACAGACTTCGGGGAACGCGTGGGGGAGCAAGAAGAGGAGGAGGAGGGGGAGGATGAGGAAAAATGGAGGGGGAGGAGGAGGAGGAGGAGGAGGAGGAGGAGGAGGAGGCGGGGGAGGATGAGGAGGAGGCCTCTTGGGCGCCTCTTGGGGCACTCTTGGTGCCTCCTGGGAGCTTCCTGAGGGCCTCTGGGATTGTGATTGGGGCTTTTGGGGGCTTCTTGGGGGGCCGCTTTGGCTGTCTTGGGGCGTTCCTGGCTTGTCTGACGCTGTCGGAAGCCGTTTTGGGGGGCATGTCTGGGTAGTCTTGGGGCCCTTTTGGGGCATATCAGGGGTTCTTAGAGGCCATATTAGGCGTCTTGGAGGCCTCTTGGGTCGTTTTAGGGCCCTCTTGGGACCATCTTGGAGGCCTCTTGGGCGATCATAGGGGCCTCTCGCGTCATCTTGAGCCGTCGGAATGCCGAGAAGAAGCACATGCAACAATCCTTCAACAACCTCTGGATAATTAATGATTTTGGCCTCTTCGTGCCCTCCTGGAAGACCTCCTGGACGCCTTTTGGGCCGTCTTGGAGGCCTCTTGGGGGCCCCTTGGGCTGTCTTGGGCCATCTTGAGGCCATCTTAGGTCGTCTTGGGTGCATCTTGGGCCGTCTTGGAGGCATCTTGGGGCCATTTTAGCCGTCTTGGAGGCCATTTTGGGCGTCTTGGACGCCCCTTGGGCCCTCTTGGGGCCATCTTGGTGGCCTCTTGGGCCGTCATTGGGCCATCTTGGAGGCCTTTGGGGCGATCTTGGGGGCTTCTTGGGCCGTCTGGAGCCGTCGGAATGCCGAAAAGAAGCACATGCAACAATCCTTCAACGACCTAAGGAAAATCAGTGATTTTGGCCTCTTCGGGCCCTCCTTGAGGACCTCTTGGAGGCCTCTTGGGCCGTCTTGGAGGCCTCTTGGGGGCCTCTTGGGCCTTCTTGGGCCATCTTGAGGCCATCTCAGGCCGGTTCGGGTGCATCTTGGGCTGTCTTGGAGGCATCCTGGGGCCATCTTAGCCGTCTTGGAGGCCATCTTGAGCGTCTTGGAGGCCTCTCGGCCGGTCTTGGGGCCCTCTTGGGAGCATCTTGGGAGCGTCTTGGGCCGTCATGGGGCCATCTTGCAGGCCTCGTGGGCGATCTTGGGGCGATCTTGGGGGCCTCCTGGGCCGTCTTGGGCCGTCCGAAAGCCGAAAAGACGCAAATACCAAAATCCTTCGAAAACCTAAGAACAATCAATGATTTTACCCTCTTCGGTCCCTCCTGGAGGACCTCTTGGAGGCCTTTCGGGCAGTCTTGGAGGCCTCTTGGGGGCCTCTTGGGCCGTCTCAGGCCATCTGGAGGCCATCTCAGGCCGTCTTGGGTGCATCTTGGGCCGTCTTGAGGGGATCTTGGGGCCATCTTTGCCGTCTTGGAGGCCATCTTGTGCGTCTTGGAGGCCATCTTGGGCCGTCTTGGAGCCGTCTGGACAGGAGAAATCCTTTGGAGCCGGGTCTGGGCAATCTTTCCGGGACCCCGGCGGGACGGGCCGAAGCCCCAGGGGGAGTTCTTTTGGAAAAAGACCCCAAACCAAAAACGATAGGATTTGGCACGCCAGTCACTCCTGTGATGAATCGACAGGGGAGGAGGAGGAGGAGGAGGAGGAGGAGGAGGAGGAGGAGGAGGAGGAGGAGGAGGAGGAGGAGGCTTCTTGGGCGCCTCTTAGGGCACTCCTTGGGGCCTCCTGGGAGCTTCCTGGGGGCCTCTTGGAGGGTTTTTGGGGGCGTTTGGGGGCTTCTTGGGGGGTACCCAGACATAGCAGGGGTTCTTAGAGGCCATCTTGGGCGTCTTGGAGGCCTCTTGGGCCGTTTTGGGGCTTGAGGCCGTCTTGAGTGCTTTTTGGGCCGTCATAGGGCCATCTTGGAGGCCTCTTGGGCGATCTTGCGGGCCTCTTGCGCCGTCTTGAGCCGTCGGAATGCCGAGAAGAAGCAAATGCAAAAATCCTTAAACAACCTAGGGAAACCCCTGATTTTGGCCTCTTCGCGCCCTCCTTGACGACCTCTTGGAGGCCTCGTGGGCCGTCTTGGAGGCCTCTTGGGGGCCTCTTGGGCCGTCTTAGGCCGTCTGGAGGCCATCTCAGGCTGTCTTGGGTGCATCTTAGGCCGTCTTGGAGGCATCCTGGGGCCATCTTAGCCGTCCTGGAGGCCATTTGGGGCGTCCTGGAGGCCATCTTCGGCCGTCTTGGGCCGTCTGGAGGCCATCTTTAGGCCGTCTTGGAAGCATCTTGGAGGCCATCTTGGGTCCTCTTGGAGCCACCTGGGGCAGGAGGACCTTCGGCAGCCACCTCTGGAAGATCCCTGCGTGGGGTCGGCGGGCCGCGCCGAGGAGCCGCCAAGGGGGGAGCCCTTGTGGAGAAGCCAACGCCGACAGGACTTGGCACGCCAGGCACCCCTCCAGGGCTCGTTTCGATTCCTCCGATTCGATTCGATTCGATTTCGATGGTTTCCGATTCC